GCATGAAGAGTTTGGATCTGAGGAAATTATTGGATCAGATGATGAAAATAATATGGATGAAGAGCATGAAGAGTTTGAATAGATAGTTTTTATTGTGTTCGAACAATTTTTATTAATGTATTATTTTTTTTTATATGAATGCAAATGATTTTTACGTAGTGCGTGTATATATTGTGTTGATAATAATGTTGATTTATTTATTGATAACTCTTTCAAAATAGATAGAATGCCACCCCGAACTGACAAGGGTAAGGCTAAGGAGACCTAGCCCCATTCGAGAGCTAGAGTACGTGAGGTACCTCCCTCGCCCATGTATGCTTCTCGCCCATAGACTTAGGCTGATCTAATGTCTATAGACACTTCACATCCATTTACGATATTACTCTCCTCCTCCCAAACGGTTTCATATGGGAATCCATCCTTTATTAGTCCATTTGGGAGATCCTTCATGCATCTGCTTGGGGGATCTAATTTTCCTCAGGTACCGTCTTCGTTCACGTAGCAGTCTGGGGGATCTAGTTTTCTTCCTCATCATTATTCCTTCACACAGCAGCCTGGGGGATCTACTTTTCCTCAGCAGACTTTCTTCGCACAGTCTGGGGGATCTGGTTTTCCTCAGCAGTATTCCTTCACGCTGTAGCCTGTAGGATCTAGTTTTCCTCAGCAGACTCCCTCCACGCACCAGCCAGGGGGATTTGGCTCTCGCATTCCACACCCTACACATATACCTGCGCGTCAGGAGCAAGATGACCACCCTATTCAAAAGGATGACGATGTTCATGAGGAGCAGGCAAATCCTGTTGCAGAGGAGATTTTGGTGGTTGAAGGACGACATCTTATTAGGCATGAGGGATCTGGGTATGTTTTTAATTTATAATATTTATTTAACTATATATTGCCATTTTATGTTTGATAATCATTCAAAATTGGGTCATTCAAATGATGTATACAAAACTCATTAAGCCTTTCGGAGAGCTCCCAGATACTGAGAAAGACATATGGTTTTGATAAATTCAAGGTAAATTGTATTTTTTATTATAGTTATGTTATTTTATAATTACTTTTTGTTATATAAATATCTAACATTTTATTTGACTGTCATATAACTTGCAGGAAAGGTGTACTTAGCAAAATTTTGACGAGGTTAAAATTAAAATATTTTTTTAGAAGTAAGGTATCTAGCAGATTATCTGACATGCTCAGGAATGCTATACAACGTTGGGAAAGAGATCAAACTCGTCCTAACTGGATAGGCGAGGAAATTTTTGGGGAACTTATTGAGTGGTGGAAGATAGAAGATTTTCAGAGAAGATCTGGACATGCAAAAAAGATGAGGGCATCTGAAGCAGGTGACTGTCTTAGTACAGTTGGAAGTATCAGTATCGGCGAACATCGTCGACAAATGGTAATTATAACTATTTTTTATGTTCTATTTTGTATTATTATATATTTAATTAAACTTAATCATTTTAATTAGAAAAATGATTTGGAGAGGGAGCCACGAATTAATGAGCTATTTGTGAAGACCCGAAATAAAAAATCGGGGGAGTTTGTTGACGGCAGTTCCAAATCAACTTTGGTAACTTGTTTATAGTTGAATTATTTTATTTCATTATTATTGTATATAATTAAATTGTTTAAACTATATTTATTTTATTTTAATCTTTTTTATTTGTGCATAGGAGTTGTACCAGACCTTGTTTGCCCAATTTCTAGCTGAAATCCTTAGTATATGCCGATTGAGAATGCACCGCTTGATCCACGCGTGGATCTTTATATTTGGGATTTAATAGTAGGCGGGAAGGGAGTCAATGGGTGTTTTTTTGGTCTTGGGTCTTTGCCTGGAGATTATAGAAAATGGGATCGAACTTTATTTCAAAGACTCGATGATGGAGAAGGAGGATCTCGTCCAGCATAATTGACACCAGAAATATTGACAACAGTGAGAGAGTTAGCTCTATCTGAGGCGAGACGAGAGGCGGAGGCACATGAGGCGGCCCTAAAGGCCGAAATGGAGAATATGAGAAATAGGCAAAATGCTGAAATGGAGGAAATGAGGAAGCGGCAATCCGACATGGAGGCACAAATGCGACATTTTTTTGCCTCACAATCGAATTATTCTGTTCAAGATGATGAAGAAGACAAAGATGCTATATTTAGTAGTGACGATGAATAACTTTTTTATTATTATTATTTATGTTTGTGACGTGAATATTATGTGACAATTTTTTTAATTATTTTGTATGTTTGTGACGTGAATATAATGTGACTAAATATTTATATCTTTTAATAATTGTATATATTAAAAAAATTAAAAATTTTAATTGAAAATCATTTAAATTTTTTTATTTTATTAGTTATTAATTCGTTGTAGTCATTAATATTTTTTTTAATTATTAAATTAAACAGTGAAGTGAAAACAAAGTCACTAAACTTAAAACATATTTTTGTTTGTGGCATGGAAACCATGTCACTAATTAGTGACATGGAAATCACGTGGGAACTTTTTCAATTCATTTGGTGGTTTGTGGCGTGAATTTCATGTCACAAATTAGTGACGTGAATTTCACGTGGGAAAATGTTCTCACCGTTGCTTTTCCGACGTGCTCTACCCACGTCACAAATTTTGTTTAGTGATGTGGTTTTTAGCTTAGTGACGTGAATACCATGTGGGAAATTGCAATATTTCTTGTAGTATAATGCATTAAATATATTTCAGATATATTTAAGTGGAAGTAAAACTTCTAATTAAAAAGGTTAACAAATAAAGAATGACATAAAATTTGTGTATATGACAAAATGAATGACAAAAGTGTCATGATTATAGTTTATTGAAACTATTAAGAATATATAACATATGTTGTATATGGAAATTGTACTAATATGATAAAAGTGTTATGATTTGATGATAGATGACAAATATTATCAAGAGTACATAATGTAATGCGTGATTAGTTGAAAAATTGAATATGTAAAATTTATTAAAATTTGGAAAAATCTTGCAATTTTTTGACGAAAGAATTGACAAAGATATGATGTCTTTGGATATAATTGAATACAGTGAAGACATGATTAGGGATGCGGAACAAGTCCATATCTAATTAATCATCAATAGTGGAAACTCAATTCACAATGTTAACTCTTGAGTTCAATGATGAAAGTACACTATTAGAGTGATTGAAGTACTTAATGGTATATACATTTCAAGGGGTAAAAGTACTTAAACCATAAAAATAAGTGTGGTAGGATGAGGTTTTCCTATTAATAGACATATAGCGTGTGTTTGCTGGAATGCATAATTATGGGTGCATTTCTGACATAGTCTACCTATATGAGAATGAAGTGATGCCACTGTTCTAGAATAGAACTAGTGACCCTATAATGATTGAGTGCATGGTCAAAAGGTGCAACCACCAGATTAACACAACTTTTCATTAAAAAATTTGTTTTTATTAATATACAATAGTTTGCGAATGGTCATGTTGAAATCAAATGAAACATTGTTTCTCCATACCAATCAGTACAAATTTTCTTATAAATAGAGATACTTGTCATCCATAAAAGATATACGAAAATAAATATTTTCAGAGCAAAAATTATATCTAAGTCATTTATTTATTTTTCTAGTGCATGAGAATTTATGAGAAAACTTTATTCAGTAAAATATCATTAATTGATATGTTTAATATGAATATGCGATTCATGTTAAGGTTTATAAAGTATCTTGAAGGAGATTCGCCGGTTAACCCTTTTACATTTAATTTGTATAAATTATTGAGGAAGAATCGAACATAAAACTTAGTGTAAACACACACTTTTAAATTTATTTTGTGCAACTTTTATCGTACCATCTTCATCATCTTCTCTTTGTTCCTGTTTTGCAATAGATTCCCAACACAAGATCTAACATAAAATTGACTTTTTTGAATAAATTAAATAATCAATGTATCTGAGCCATTATATAGTTCAAATACATTAATTATTCAATTAACCTAAAAAGTAAACTTTTTCTCATATATAAGACCGGAGGTAGTAATTTCTTATTATCATCGGAGCGCGTGTGTGACTTGATAGGAGATCCTAAGTTGTCTGGTTTATGCTCGTCATTGCTGGCTGAGTTTATGTAACTGCTGGCTTTGTTTCTGTTAGTGATTGTTTTAAAATCCTGTTGTGTGTCTTTAATGTCATGTAAGGGGTGTTGGAAATCAGTAGGGCCTGCCTTATGTTGGATGGGGAATCATAAGTTTGTGACTTGTAACAGTGTGCCATGCCTTATGCCTTTTATTTATTTAATTTTTTTAGCTTTTAAAAGAAGAGGAATGAAAACAAATAGTATTATAACGGTCGGATGAAGCAGAACAGATAGAAACAGCCCGTTATTCACAAGTGCCAACCTAGCAGAACTAAGCAAACAAACCAAACTCCCAACGCATTGTTACTTTTCAGTTTCATCAACTTTTTACGTTACATTATTTTTAATATGCTTATGACCGTTTTCCTTAAATTAAATATCATATTATTGACTAGTAATTGTTAATTGGTTCAGTAATAGTTGACGCTGAAATTAATAGAGACGATTACGGTTCGATCTCTCCCAATTGAGATTAGGAGGAGATTGAAATCAGTTAATATTAGAATTGATTCAAACCAGATTAGTTGATTCAGTGGATCAGATACGGGTGGAAAAAAAAATTATATTATTAGATGATAAAAAAGGTGCAGGCCCATGGAATTGAACCTTTGGATGATTGAAAGGAATACTGGGCGATAAAAGCGCCGGTAATTTGACCAATCACAAACATTCATGGCAGCTTCTCTTTCTTTCCCACGTTTGTGTTTTGCAACTACTTCTACTAGCTGGCTCCACCTTCCTACTACTTCCAACCTGGCACAACACCACTACTCTTCTCTTTATATATACAAAACTACATAACTGCTTTTCCTTAAACCCACGACTTTCTTTTCTCTTTCACATTCTTCTTCATCATCCATTATCCAACATGTCTCACGACAACAACGGTTCTCCAGACCAAACAACAACCCCGCAAGCTGAGGATGTTGTTGTTGTTTCCGATGTGAATGTTCCACACAATGAAAAAACAACTACTGTTCTCTTAGAATCAGTTCCAGTTGTTGAATCTGTCACTCTAGAGACTCATCTCTCCAAACCCAATACCGACTCACCCGGTGATACTGAGACTTTCGATTTCAAGAAAGAAGAAACCACCAAACCTTCTCAACCTGATCGTTCTGAAAATGAAAACAAGCCACTCCAAGAGCTTAAGAATCTCGTTCAACAAGCACTCAACAACCATGAATTCTCTTCCTCGGCCATAATTGAAGATAAACCACCCACCAACATTGTTGCTGAAGCGGATAAAGAAGCACCTGCACAACAAAAGGTGGAGGAGGAAGCTGCACCAGCCAAAGAGGAAGAAAAAGAACAAGAGGATGGAGATAAGAAGGAAGAAGAAGCGAAGGAAACCATGGTGGAAAAAGAACAACAAGAAGGAGATAAGAAGGAGGAGGAGGTGAAGGAAACCGTGGTAGCTTCTGTGGAGGACGATGGAGCAAGAACTGTAGAAGCTATAGAAGAAAGTGTAGTTGCCGTTTCTTCATCTGTTCCTGTTCCTGTTTCGCAAGAGCCCGTTGAAGAGAAAGTTGAACCAAAAAATGAAGCTACATTGTCATTACCACCAGAAGAAGTATCCATTTATGGGATACCACTTCTTGCAGACGAAAGAAGCGACGTGATCCTGTTGAAGTTTCTCTGTGCAAGAGATTTCAAGGTGAAAGAGGCTTTCACCATGATCAAAAACACAATTCGCTGGAGAAAAGAATTCGGAATAGAGGAGTTGTTGGATGAGAAACTGGGTGATGAATTGGAGAAAGCTGTTTACATGCATGGATTTGATAAGGAAAATCACCCTGTGTGTTATAACATATATGGTGAATTTCAGAACAAGGAATTGTATAAGAAAACATTTTCTGATGAGGAGAAGAGACAGAATTTCCTTAGATGGAGAATTCGGTTTCTTGAGAAGAGTATTAGGAATTTGGATTTTAAGAATGGTGATGCATGTACTATTGTTCATGTCAATGATCTTAAGGATTCACCTGGACCTGGAAAATGGGAACTTAGACAAGCTACCAAACAAGCCCTTCAATTGTTTCAAGACAATTACCCTGAGTTCGTGGCAAAACAGGTAACTTACATTATGTTCTTAAACATATGTGTTTTGATGTTATGTTATGTTTTGACAACATTGTTAATGTGTTTTTTCATATTTTGTTTTTAGGTGTTTATCAATGTGCCATGGTGGTATTTGGCTGTGAATAGAATGATAAGTCCTTTTCTTACACAAAGAACCAAAAGCAAGTTTGTCTTCGCCGGGCCTTCAAAATCAACTGAGACCCTTTTAAGGTGAAGACATATTAAGGATTCAAAATTTAGTTTTTGGTTTGTTGTGTTTGAAATTTAAAAAATTTTATCTTTGGCATTTTGTAATTTCAGCTACATTGCTCCGGAGCAACTTCCAGTGAAATATGGTGGATTGAGCAACGATGGTGAATTTGGAAATTCAGATGCTGTTACTGAGATTACAATAAAGCCAACATCAAAACATACTGTGGAATTTGCTGTTACTGAGGTTTGTTTTTCTTTGTGTTTTTTTTAGGATCCAAAGAATGCTACATAGTAGTAGGAATCTTTCATAGGATTCTTCTCTTGTCGATACTATCTACTTTGTTGTTTGCTTTAATTTCATATTATATGGAACAAATTGTGCATATTTGTAGAAAATTTTGTACCAAATAAAAATTAGTAATTTAGGAAATAAAAAAGTAAACATAAAATTGTAAAATAAATAATAAAAAGTAGTTTCTTTTGTTAGCTGTGTATTGTAGTTTGTGGACCACTTTGATGCTTTTGTTGATGGAATAGGTTGTACAACAAACACTAGGGTGACCTTGTGAAAATTATAGTTTAAATTTTCCTTGTACTATGCAACGCCTATTTAGTGGCACCATAGTGTATGATACGAAATGATTAAAATTGTCTAATGTCACACATTTTTTTGCAAAATTTTATAGAAAGTAACTTATCCAAATACTATTCAAATGAAACACCCTAAATTATAGAGTACTTATTTGTTAGGTTATTCAAAAGAATATATATTTTGTTTTTGATAATATAATAAATAAGAACTATATAGTTAAGCGTGTGATTGAGAATAAAACATGATAACGTTTTCAATAGCATAATAAATAAAAACTTTATAATTAAGCGTGTTTGATATGAAATAATATTTAGATGAGTGATCTTTTAAAAAATATCCTAAAAAACGTGTGAGTAAAAATAAAATATGTTAAAAAGACTCGTGTTAATTTATAGAGTGAATCAATAATCTTAAAAATATAAAGTTTTTTATATGGTTGTAGATATGATTTAAGATCACATTTAATTGCTACCACATCGATAATATTGTTGTCATAATTGGATATGAGGGCCATATTTTAAAATGATGCCTTGTACTAACGATTGGTAAGAGAAATTTATGTTGAATAAAAGAGCATTCAACATTTATTAGGGGTTTATGGAACATGAAAATGACTTTAGACAAAAGGAAAAAGACAACATGTTCAAGAGTAGAAAATAAGTCCCAAAGAAAGAAAAAAAGGTCAACAACAATCTGTATCTCTTTCATAGTTTGGAATGGATAACCACAACCACCTAATGATGTTGATGTTTTGATTTGTTTATAATAAAACAGAAGCATGCTATGCTATAGCAATATAATTCATTTTATTTGGAAACTATGCAGAAATGTTTAGTGTCTTGGGAGGTGAGAGTAATAGGGTGGGAAGTAAAGTATGGTGCAGAATTTGTACCAAGCAATGAAGAAAGCTATACTGTGATTGTTCAAAAGGATAGAAAAGTGAGTTCATCAGAAGAAGCAGTGCTTTGCAACAGTTTTAAAGTTGGTGAACCTGGGAAAGTTGTTCTCACCATTGACAACACAAGTTCTAGGAAGAAAAAGCTCTTGTACCGCTTCAAGACCAAGTCGGACTGAGAAAAATCATCATATATATTCGCAACAAGTGGAGTTTATTATTTGATAATATGAATATAAAGTTTTTTTTTTCTTTTTCTTTTAGTTCTCATGATTATTATGTGTGGAATCATATATTTTTGTAATTTTCTTGCTATTGTTTATTGTTGCCTTTTTGTTATTTTGAAGATATATATCAAGATCCATTTTTCGTATTGCTTGATATTTAATATTTTTTTGTAATTTTATGAGACATACAAAGACTACTTAAAAGGAGTAAAATTCTTAAAACTTTCTGCGACGGACCTTCTTATAACTCGAAAAATATCATGTAAAATTTGGTGGGGTCTCACTTTATGGTTGTCATTCTGTCTGTACACGAGCATGGAATATGTTTGAGAGTTGTGATGATTCTTGTTGCAAACAGGGAAGAAAAAGGTGAGGTATGCATATGGATCATCATTGCTATGGACTTCTATAATGAGTGACATTGTAGACATTACATTGCTTTGTTAGTTTGAAAAACTGAAGTTAGTTCAACCAAAAAGTTAATGTTTCACAAGAAATATGAGAATAATTGGATGAGAGGTTAATTTAAATTATCATATTGTTATCTTGTTAATTGTAAGAAATAAATATTTTATTTAAATAGATAAATAAATAAATACACACACATATATATAATGGTGGCCATGAGTTCTAAGTCAGCATATGTGAGTAATGTAACACCCCCTTTCTATACCTCCGAAACATATAAATCATATAGGCATAAATTCAAATTTTCATTAGAGTATAATTAAAACATGGTATAAAAGGAGCATGTCACACAATTCGTGAAATAAAACATACAACACCGGCTCAATAGAGACATGCAACAATAGGGTAACTTCAACAGAGGAACTTAGTCCTTACACCCACATCTCAATATTTAGAATAACAGCGGAAACATCTAAACATTAAATCATTTTAAACATGTAATCATATAATACATATTATCCAGTTTGATTCACCACATCATTCATGTTTACATAAACATTTGTCAACAGATACATATACAAAATGTATCCCAAAAGAATAGTATACAATCCTAACTACCCGGTGCTACATATCAGAGCTAACCGACCAAAAGAATGAAGCTATACTTCACGAAAGACCTCCAGCAAACCTAATCTGCAATGCCTCATAGAGCATTATAAAACAGCAGAAGGGTGGGAAATATTATCATAATAATCAATGCATATATATATATATATATATATATATATATATATATATATATATATATATATATATATATATATATATATATATATATATATATATATATATATATATATATATATATATATATATATATATATATATATATATATATATATATAAACATAGAATACACATACATCACAATATATGTATAAACAAATATGGATAATCACCAAACATGTTTCATAATCCACACATTCATAATCCTCAATTCAACAATTCATGCACAAGCATACTTTCATATAACAATGATATCTATGCCACATGACTCATATAAAACTCATCAATTCTCACCAATCCCTATTTGGGATTATGGGTACATCGTTTATACCCCACCAGGAACAACATCTCAGTTATTCTACCTCGGTGATTATTCCACTAGGAACGACATCTTAGTCAATCTACCCCAGTGTATACGACCATGTCACTCTCCCTCACTAGGAACAACATTTGTCATTCTACCCCAGTGATTACTTCACTAGGAACAACATCTTGTTATTCTACCCCAGTGATTACTCCACTAGGAACAACATCTTGTTATTCTACCCTAGTGATTACTCCACTAGGAACAACATCTTGTTATTCTACCCCAGTGATTACGAGCCTTGCACATATAAATATTTTCATATATTCACACAACATTTATCAAGCAATGCACACATATTCACTAGTATGTTCTCATGCATTCACAATATCGTGCCAACGTCAACAACTCAATCACATTCATCATGCACTTTTAATTAATTTAAACAATGCATATATTGGTCAAAAGACCTTATCCCACAATCGATTCCACAATCTAGGATTCACGCCATACGGCTACCCACAACATATCACACAACAACACTTAAACTATTCATTTCCGATAAGGATTGAACACAATCGAACTAACAATCAACATTGGATGGAAACACAAGGAAATGAAAATGTTGTCACACTCGCTAGCTCGCTACCAGCGAAGAGGGTTAATTACATTCTGTCCAAGTCTGGGACCATTCGCTACTAGCTCGCTACAGCGAACACTCGCGACCTGCTCGCCTAGCGAAGGCGCTAGCGAACGTCTGCGATGTTCAAAACCCCAACTGTCCAAAATCATCAAATCACCATAAAATCAACTGATTCAATTCCAACGAATTCCAGTAGTCTTAGCCTAACATTTCTCGACTAATCTACACCATTATTCCAGATTTTTAACCATTCAAACATTGATTCTACCGATTAAATTCATTTCTGCCCTAGAATGGAAAAAGATGGGAAATCTCTACAAATCCAAACACACACATACATAATCATACACATTGACAAGATAATGATATTTCACACCCTTACCTTGATTAAATCGAAGCTAGAAGTTGTTCTTGAGATTTCTAAGTTTTCCCTTCTTTTCCTTCTCTTTTCTCCTCTTCATCTTTCTTTCTCTTCTCTTTCTCTTATGTTTCTATTATTTCCTTTTCCTTCCACTTTTCCTTATATGTCTTTCTATTCTATTTCCTCCCATCATATTTCTCCTCTCAAATATCTACCAATAATTCCAATAATTAAAATCATCCAAATAAATCAATTAATTAATATAAATAATTAATTATTGAAAATTGGGCTGTTACAACCCTCCCCCACTTTAGGAATTTTCGTTCTCGAAAATGTTACCTGATTCAAACAACTCTGGATAAGACTCCCTCATCTGACTCTCAAGTTCCCAAGTCACATTTCCACCAGCCGTTCCTCCCCAAGTGACCTTCACCAAAGCAATCTCTTTGCCTCAAAGTTGCTTCAACTCCCGATCCTCTATCCGCATAGGTGATGTCTCCACAGTCAGGTTATCTCTCACCTGCACATCATCTACTTAGACTACATGAGACGGATCCGCAATGTATTTCCTCAATTGAGATACATGGAACACGTCATGGAGATTAGCAAGCGACGGCGGTAAAGCAACTCGATAGGCTACCTCTCCTATCCTCTGCAAAATATGATAAGGACCAATAAATCACGGCGTCAACTTACGTGACTTCAATGCCCTACCAACACCAGTCATCGGAGTGACTCGAAGAAACACATGATCTCCCTCCTGAAATTCAAGTGTTTTCCTCCTCATGTCATGATAACACTTTTGACGACTCTGAGAAATCTTCATCTTCTCTTGAATCATCTTAATCTTATTGGTAGTCTACTGGACTATCTCGGGTCCAACCACAAAACTCTCTCCAGACTCAAACCAACACAATGGCGTCCTACACCGTCTACCATAAAATGCCTCAAACGATGCCATACCAATACTCGAATGAAAACTATTATTATAAGTAAATTCAATCAAAGGTAAGTAGCTATCCCAAGTTCCTCCCTTCTCCAATACACAAACTCTTAAAAGATCCTCAAGTGATTGAATGTTCTCTCAGTCTGACCATCGGTCTGCGGATGGTAAGCTGAACTCAAACGCAACTTCGTACCCAAAGCACTTTGTAAACTCTCCTAAAATCTCGAAGTAAACCTCAGATCTCTATCTGAAACTATGCTAGACGGAATACCATGCAAACTGACAATCCTTTCAATGTACAGCTTTGCCAATATCTCTAACGGGTAATCCATTCGCATAGGAATAAAGTGAGCAGATTTGGTCAACCTATATACAATAACCCAAATAGCTTCAAAGTTACTCGGCGTTCTAGGTAAACCAGACACAAAATCCATAGAAATGCTATCCTATTTCCACTCAGAAATAAACAACGGTTTCATCAAGCCCGACTGTTTCTGATGCTCAATCTTTGACTTCTGACAAGTCAAACAAGAATACACAAACTCGGCAATATCCTTCTTCATACGAGGCCACCAAAATACTTTCCTCAAATCTTGATACATCTTAGTAGTACCCGGATGAATACTCAATCCACTATGATGTCCTTCTTCAAGAATACTCTTCTTTAGCTCAATAACATCAGGAACACAAACTCTATCACGACACCTCATGATACCATTTTCATCAATCCAAAATTCACCACCTTGACCTTGATTGATCAAAGTCAACCAATCAACTAAACTCAAGTTAGATTTCTGTCCTTCTCGAATTTCATCAAGAATACCACTAGTAAGCTTTAACATACCCAGCTTAACTCCGTAGGAAGTTTTCTCACACACCAAACTCAAATCACGAAATTGCTTAATCAATTCCAACTCTTTTACCATCATCATCGACATATGCAACGATTTCCTACTCAATGCATCCGCTACCACATTTGCTTTACCCGGATGGTAATTCAAACCAAAATCATAATCCTTCAGAAGTTCCAACCATCTCCTCTGCCTTGCATTCAATTCTTTCTGATCAAAGAGATATTTCAAACTCTTATGATCATTAAATACCTCAAATCTCGAACCAAACAAATAATGCCTCCAAAGCTTCAGCACAAATACAACGGCGGCCAACTCTAGATCATGTGTCGGATAATTCTTCTCATGCACTTTGATTTGCCTCGAAGCATAAGCTACAACTTGTTTATCTTGCATCAACACACCTTCTAAACCCATCAAAGAAGCATCACAATACACAACAAAAAGTTCTACCGGATTTGGAAAAATCAAAATAGGAGCTGTCATCAATCTCCTCTTAAGCTCTTGAAAACTTTCTTCACACTTTGCATCCCAAACAAAAGCTTGACTTTTCCTAGTCAACTGCGTAATAGTAAAGATAACTTGGCAAATCCTTCAATGAATTTCCGATAATAACCTGCCAAACCAAGAAAACTTCTAATCTCAAAAACTGA